TACCAACGTCCGCATGTCGCGCTAGCCTTATCCTACTCTAGGCCTAGACTAGCCATGATGGTATATGTCACGTGGTACTTCAATGATATCAATTTAACACGAACAAAACGACACCCATCATCAGATAAGTTACAACAATCTGTTTATTTCTTTCCTTCTTTTCTTCCGTCATTCATTTGACTTACTGCAACCCCTTGTTTCGTAAAATTTATCCATGAGTCAGCATAATATAGAGGCTACCTATAAACAAAATGGTACATTTTTCTAGAGGCAGGCCCCACATCATAATTTACAATTAACGACCTAAAATAAAATAAATTGCAAAATAGGCCTAGCAATAAATTATGCTTATATATATTATCTTAGATACAATTGCATTTCAACAATTCTATGAGTTCCCTTGGAACGTCATTAGCATGAGGTAACATTACCCTACACGATACACGTCATTAGTCCTGCTATAATACAATGCAATATAAATAATTAACTTACTGCTGCTAATTATGACCGAAACCTTAGTTTGTCACCTTTTATAGCACATATCTGCCTGCATTCAACATTAGCCAGTCTTCATGGACCTTGTCCAACTCGGCTTTTCTCATCTAAGGCCCTTAACTTAGGCCTCCCTAGAGACATCTGCTCTCAATCGAGACCTTAGACAAAAATTTTCCACCTTATCTCCCAGGGTCCAACATTATGACGTATTTCCCTTTTAAATATGCATGTACTTAATTAATATGCACATACTTTTTAGTGTCCCTCTAGAGTTCCATTCTCAACATGATGATAATAGCAATAAGAATAATATCATTAATAACAACAGTAAGAACAATAAAATATAGTAATAATAATAATAATACATTCGAATCAAGTCAATTGTGACAGTATAGGCCTAGCCTAGAAGGTCCCAAGGAAAAACAACGTCGCTCCTTGATAGCTAACATTGTCTATTTAACATCACAATAATTCATTATTAGACCTATAGTTGTTTTTTGAATTGTACTCCACAAATCTCAGCCGATACCTCGCACGCACAACTCGAGTAACGTCTTGTATCATTGTCGTGACGTCATGGGTCGCTGGCTCACACTTGCGATGTCTCCCACTTGTGATCAAATAACACGCTGGCTCGCACTTTGGC